TATATATATATATATATATATATATATATATATATATATATATATATATATATATAGGGGTAATTATGGAAAGGTAAAGTATTAAAGATAAAAGATAAATACATAAGTTCAATGCGTTAGTGAGTTGATAATTCGTCCAAAGGCCTTGATTAAATTCCGCATTTTCCTGATACCTATAATCGTTAATCCTACAAGAGCCTGGAAGCGTCGATTATAGGGACTCACGATAATACATTAGATCACCTTAAAATATTGTCGATTATAAGAGCTCATGGTAATACATTAAAAATCGCCTTAGGGTTTAGATTACCATTAGGGATGCCTGGAATGGTAATTAAAAGACGTTAGGATCGTTAGATATCCTAAAAAGATAGAAAGCTAGGTTTATAAAATTATTTAAAAAGAAGTTTTTCTCAAAGAAATTGTAACATCCCGACTCCCAGGTATATTATTTAATTAATTTGCATTCGTATTTTAGAGCAACTCGATGAGTTGGATGCCCCAACTCGCCGAGTAGAGGAGTTAATGGTCGCGTGATTTTTTAGAGTTTACTCGACGAGTTGGAGGACCCCAACTCGTCGAGTAGGTGCTGAGTAAGAAAACGCTAATTTTCAGGGTTTGTGTCCTATTTAAAGGACCTTAAGCCTCCATTTACGCCTCCCTTATCACCCTAACACTTGTGAGAAAACCCTAATCGAGCTATAACCTTGTGTGAGAGAAAGAGAGGCTAATCTTGTGTGTTCTAGTGCACTTTTGGAAGGAGGTTGAAGAGCATCAAGTCTTGGAACGAAGAGGGACTTTTAGATCCAGTGATCTTCAGTGTTAGCTTCTGTTTGGAGGTAAAAAGCTACCACCTTGATCATTTCTTTTGTTAGATCTCTTTCTAGGGAATTTTAGGGCTTTCTCCCATCTATCTTTTGGGTATTGAGTCATTTGAGCCTGACATGAAGTTGAGACATCAGATCTGGACTGAATAAGGTCCCTTGAGTCCAAAGATCGAAGCTTTACCAAACTAGTGACAAGATTTTATGCATTAAACCCCATATAGAGTTTATTATGGCAATTCGAGCCCTAGATGCCATGCATGGACGTAAAGCTTGGAGCTTTACGTGGTATTTCAGCCTTGGGAGGCTAGATCTAGAGGTTGGGACATTATTTCTGCTTAGAATCATCTGAATGAGAATTTGTCTAGAAGGACTCGACGAGTGCATGAGCCAACTCGAGGAGTCAACAAGGGTTTCCCCGATAGTCTGAACGCACTACAACTCGGTGAGTTGATGAGACAACTCGACGAGTTGAGTTGGAGTTTTCCCGATTTTTCTGAGGACAGGAGGAGCTCAACGAGTCACATAGGTGCACTCGTCGAGTTGGGTCAACAGGGACTGTTGACTCGAGTGTTGACTTCCGTTGACTTCTAGGGTTGGTCAATTGTGGACTTTGGAGACCATGGAGGGGTAAAAATGGTATTTTCACCTTTTTGAGACCTATTCGAAGAGTTAGCTTGGTGGTTATTACAAATTGTCGATTAGAGATAATTATATTATGTAGGCGGAGTTTAGACTGTTCGTGGGGTACTAGATCTACTTGTTTACTTACAAGGTGAGTCTTCTCACTATACTTACCTGAGTGGTAATACTGTGTGACCGGAGGGTCTTATTTAAGTTATCAACCGGAGGGTCCTATGTGCTTATATTGAGTTATGTGATATTATGCATCTTGTCTTTGTGATATATGCTATATTATTATGTGCCTTACTGAGTAGGAGCGGAGGGTCCACACCGAGTTGTGAGACCGGAGGGTCCTCACTGAGATACAGGACTGGAGGGTCCGACCCGAGCTGTGAACACCGGCGGGTCTTCACTGAGACACATGACCAGAGGGTCCACATTGAGCCGTGAGACCGGAGGGTCCTCACCGAGACGCATGACCGGAGGGTCCATGCCGAGCTATAGCCATGAGAGGCTTACTATTTGTGTATGTGGTATTTTGGGGAACTCACTAAGATTCGTGATTACCGTGTTGTGTGATATGTGTTTCAGGTACTTCTCAGGATCGCGGGAAGGCGTCGACTTGATTGTACACACTTGTTTGAGATTATGGTTGAGGATTCTGGGATACTATCATTTGTTTTGTTGATTTGTGATTTTGACAAATGATACATTGTGGTTTTGAGAAAATATGATATTGAGTTTTATGTGATTTAAAAATGAAAAATTTGTTTGAAAATTTACGGTGTTACAAGTTGGTATCAGAGCCTTGGTTTGAGGGATTCGGATGTACTCTCGGGTATGTCTGGACTCAAACTGAGGATTTAAGAAAAGTTTTTCTAAAAGAAATGATTTTTCTAAAAACAAGTAAGAGCTTTCAAGAGATAACGAGATGGAGCAGTGTGTACAATCAGCCAGAGTCCGAACGGTGATCTCCCAAAATACCATTACTTGTTTGTATTATGAGATGTTAGAGCTGCATGCTAGAGGATAGGCTAGGTATTTCAGTATTTAGAGCTAGAGTTTCCTGATTCATGATGCCTCAGCCTAGGGTATGCTATTGATTGATCTTATCTGCTATTTGCTCTGTGTGTGTACTCAATAGGGAAACATAGTAGGAATCTTTTAGAGGGAGTTTGAGTAATCTAGGAGGGATACCTAGATGCGCATTGAGGAACCAACCGAGAGAGTAGTGTGACATCCGTGAGGGATAGGGTATTTATGAATTAGGATCCTAGGAGGAGGACTTGGGACGACTATAGGTTGGTGTGGAAGGTAGTATTGGGCCCGTACTACTAAAAGCACCGGATCCGTATGCGACCCAAGTAATAATCTTAGGGTACTAAGGAGCAAGTAGGGGTGGTCAACCGAGTGAGTGTATGTGTTGAGCTAGTCTCTGACGATTTTGTGTTTGCGTTTCAGAGACACTATGGTGGTTACCCGCAACAACCCCGGGGGCAGTGATACCAGTGACGAGGAGATCCACAGGATCATACATGAGGAGGTAGCCGCAACTATCAGAGAGGCCATACCAGATATGTTCGGGTCTATTAAGACCACACTGATTGAGACGTTTGATGAGAGATACGATGCTGTCAAAGAGGCTGTTGCTGCCATATCCACTGCAGCCCTAACTGCTTCGAGGCCACAGGGAGGTGAATCGTTGTTGTTCCATGAGTTCATTAACACGAAGCCACCAGAGTTTGATGGGACGCCGAATCCGATCGCTGCTATGAGATGGATCTTCGACATTGAGGGGTGTTTCTATACGTGTTCATGTCTAGAGCATCTGAGAATCCGGTTCGCGCTGAACCAGCTTCGCTTGGGAGCGAAGGACTGGTGGAAGTTTGTGACGACAGATTTTACCCCTGTAGATCATGCTGCAGTGACTTGGGAGAGGTTCACCAAGTTATTCCGAGATGAGTATGTTCCTCAGGTGGAGAGGGAACGTTTGGCACATGAGTTTCTGTCTCTCAAGCAGATGACAGAGTCAGTGACAGAGATTACGAGGATTCTTCATGAGAGGGCTCTGTTTTTCCCTGAGCACGTGTCCACTGAGCAGGCACGTGTGAGTCGGTATTTGAGCATCTTTATGAGCGATATTCGGGAGTTCGTGGCGAACTCGTCATACCGGACATTGGTTGATCTGCAGACCAATGCCAGGAGGAGAGAGATTGAGCTGGAGATTTAAACCAGGGAGGAGGAAGAGCAGTAGGGGAGAGATAGGAGACCGGTACAGTTGCAGTCAGCAACAAAGCGGGCTAAGACCACTGATTCGAGATCAGGAGGCCAGAAGGGCCGCACTTGTAGCAAGTGTGGCAAGAGCCACGGGGGATCATGTTGAGCAGGGACTTGCTACAAATGTGGCAAGGAGGGGCACATGGCTAGGGACTGCCCCAAGGGATTTTCGGTTTGCTTTCATTGCAACCAGACTGGCCACAAGAAGGCCGAGTGTCCTCAGCTCACTCAGGGATTAGCTCAGGCTTCTGCTCATGCTGCTTTACGTGTTACTGATGGTCGGTCGGGGAAGGCCGAGGATCTGAGGGCTCGTGGGAGAGCATTCCAGCTGACCGTGGAGGAGGTCCGTGCAGCACCTAATGTTGTTGTTGGTATGTATCTCCTTATTTCATGTTATTTTGAGATTTGTTTATGCTTATACTGTGCTGCATATAGGTACTTTTCTTGTGAGTTCTGTGCCTGCTTTGGTGTTATTTGACTCAGGTGCGAGTCGAT